TTACTGAAAATTGCAAAAATCGCAAAAATGACTGAAAATCGCAAAAATTGCAAAAATGACTGAAAATCGCAAAAATCGCAAAAATGACTGAAAATTGCATAAAATGCCAAAATGACTGAAAATTGCAAAAATTCCTGAAAATTGCAAAAATCGCAAAAATGACTGAAAATTGCAAAAATTGCAAAAATGACTGAAAATTGCAAAAATCGCAAAAATGACTGAAAATTGCAAAAATCGCAAAAATCGCAAAAATGACTGAAAATTGCAAAAATTGCAAAAATGACTGAAAATTGCAAAAATCGCAAAAATCGCAAAAATTCCTGAAAATTGCAAAAATCGCAAAAATTCCTGAAAATTGCAAAAATCGCAAAAATTACTGAAAATTGCAAAAATCGCAAAAATGACTGAAAATTGCAAAAATTGCAAAAATTACTGAAAATTGCAAAAATTGCAAAAATGACTGAAAATTGCAAAAATCGCAAAAATTCCTGAAAATTGCAAAAATCGCAAAAATTCCTGAAAATTGCAAAATCGCAAAAATTCCTGAAAATTGCAAAAATCGCAAAAATTCCTGAAAATTGCAATAATCGCAAAAATGACTGAAAATTGCAAAAATCGCAAAAATAACTGAAAATTGCAAAAATCGCAAAAATTCCTGAAAATCGCAAAAATCGCAAAAATTCCTGAAAATTGCATAAATCGCAAAAATTCCTGAAAATTGCAAAAATTGCAAAAATGACTGAAAATTGCAAAAATCGCAAAAATGACTGAAAATCGCAAAAATCGCAAAAATGACTGAAAATTGCAAAAATCGCAAAAATTCCTGAAAATTGCAAAAATCGCAAAAATTCCTGAAAATTGCAAAATCGCAAAAATTCCTGAAAATTGCAAAAATCGCAAAAATTCCTGAAAATTGCAAAAATCGCAAAAATGACTGAAAATTGCAAAAGTCGCAAAAATAACTGAAAATTGCAAAAATCGCAAAAATGACTGGAAATCGCAAAAATCGCAAAAATTCCTGAAAATTGCAAAAATCGCAAAAATTCCTGAAAATTGCAAAAATTGCAAAAATGACTGAAAATTGCAAAAATCGCAAAAATGACTGAAAATCGCAAAAATCGCAAAAATGACTGAAAATTGCAAAAATTGCAAAAATGACTGAAAATTGCAAAAATTGCAAAAATGACTGAAAATTGCAAAAATTGCAAAAATGACTGAAAATTGCAAAAATTACGAAAATGACTGAAAATTGCAAAAATCGCAAAAATGACTGAAAATTGCAAAAATCGCAAAAATGACTGAAAATTGCAAAAATCGCAAAAATGACTGAAAATTGCAAAAATTGCAAAAATGACTGAAAATTGCAAAAATCGCAAAAATGACTGAAAATTGCAAAAATTGCAAAAATTCCTGGAAATTGCAAAAATCGCAAAAATGACTGAAAATTGCAAAAATGACTGAAAATTGCAAAAATCGCAAAAATGACTGAAAATCGCAAAATCGCAAAAATTCCTGAAAATTGCAAAAATCGCAAAAATTCCTGAAAATTGCAAAAATCGCAAAAATGACTGAAAATTGCAAAAATTGCAAAAATGACTGAAAATTGCAAAAATGACTGAAAATCGCAAAAATCGCAAAAATGACTGAAAATCGCAAAAATCGCAAAAATGACTGAAAATTGCAAAAATTGCAAAAATTACTGAAAATTGCAAAAATTGCAAAAATTACTGAAAATTGCAAAAATCACAAAAATTACTTAAAATTGTAAAAATCGCAAAAATTCCTGAAAATTGCAAAAATAGCAAAAATTCCTGAAAATTGCAAAAATCGCAAAAATTACTGAAAATTGCAGAATCGCAAAAATTCCTGAAAATTGCAAAAATCGCAAAAATTCCTGAAAATTGCAAAAATCGCAAAAATTCCTGAAAATTGCAAAAATCGCAAAAATAACTGAAAATTGCAAAAATCGCAAAAATGACTGAAAATCGCAAAAATCGCAAAAATTCCTGAAAATTGCATAAATCGCAAAAATTCCTGAAAATTGCAAAAATCGCAAAAATGACTGAAAAAGCAAAAATCGCAAAAATTCCTGAAAATAGCAAAAATTACTGAAAATTGCAAAAATTGCAAAAATGACTGAAAATTTGCAAAAATCGCAAAAATGACTGAAAATTGCAAAAATCGCAAAAATGACTAAAAATCGCAAATTCCTGAAAATCGCAAAAATTACTGAAAATTGCAAAAATCGCAAAAATGACTGAAAATTGCAAAAATCGCAAACATTCCTGAAAATTGCAAAAATCGCAAAAATTCCTGAAAATTGCAAAAATCGCGAAAATTCCTGAGAATTGCAAAAATTGCAGAAATTGCAAAAATTCCTGAAAATTGGAAAATTCCTGAAAATAGGAAAAATTCCTGAAAATTGCAAAAATTGCAAAAATTCCTGAAATTGCAGAAATTGCAAAAATTCATGATAATTGTAAAAATTCTTGAAAATTGCAAAAATGCCTGAAAATTGTAAAAATTGCAAAAACGCCTGAAAATTGCAAAATTCGCAAAAATGCCTGAAAATTGCAAAAATTGCAAAAATTCCTGAAAATTGCAGAAATTGCAAAAATTCATGAAAATTGTAAAAACTCAAAATTCCTGAAAATTGCAAAAATCGCAAAAATACCTGAAAATTGCATCAATTCCAAAAATTCCTGAAAATGTGAAAAACCGCAAAAATTGCAAAAATTGGCTGTTCTTATGTAAATACCTGAAAAGCAATGAGTTTTCGATATAAATTGTACCGGAGACACTGAAATCAGCCTTTTTATGTATAAACTGGTCAACATTGATAACGTCGTGCTCCAAAATATAGCCCGAATTCAAAGTAGAATAACACGAATTTCCTCACTAATTTGAAATCGGTTTTCAGCGATGATTAGTCTAATCTCTTGACAGTTTGTTGTGGCAATATGAAACTTCTGTAATTTCAGATAACATTGCTACAGGGTGATGATTGAATGGGTGTAAAATTGCATCGTGGTCGTCACCTTACCGTTTGAACAGATGATTTTTTTTCTCACCTGTATCCTCTTGATTGAAGCTTTCTCTCGAAACGTTTTCGGAATTTTCAAATTCAGAGCTTTGATAATCGAATCGTGTTATGAATATTCATTCAGAATGATCCATTTTTTCGACGATTAATTGAATGAAATTAAGAGTTGGAATTCTTCTCCAAAGAATCAACGTTGTATGTATAGTCGTCGGATATGTGATCGTGTTCGAATACAGAAAATTATGAAAAAGTGATACAAGAAATACTGAATGATGGAATGGAGAATAACGTAGTCTTCAGTAGATGAAACATAATTTTCTCTGTGTTACTAGTGGAATAATTTAGTGTTACTTCGTCATGAGGATGTCTGGTGTCTGACCTCGAAATGGTTTTGTAATTTCTTGGATCGAAGGTCATATAATGAAAGTACGCATTTTTAATCGAAATGATGCAGTTTCGTTAAGATAAATTATAAATTTCAAAAAATTACGATTGTAGTTCGTAAAAAGGAATATAATGTCGGTCATTGTGGAAAACTGTGAAATGAATAAATATAGTAACTTTTCATGAGGTTTATACAAGGAAATATGAAAGAGACTGCAGAATTGCCACAGATTCCATTAAATGTTTTCAAACCGATGGAGATAAATACAGTAAGTTCTCATATGAGGCTTATACGAGGTAATATGAAAGAGACTTCAAAATTGCCACATATTCGTGCATACTTGTTACCATTGCATCTTATACTGATCTAGCACCTACAAAATAGTCTTACGAAGGAAACTTTCCTCATTGTCACTCAGTGTGAAGTTGAATGGAAATAGAATAACTCTTGAATGCTAATTTCTGCATCATCTTTTCCACAGGGTGATTCATAAGGAATTTATAATATTTCACCTGATGCTATAGATTTGAGGAATTCCGTTGAAAAAAAAATAGATTTCCTAACTTATTCTCACAATTATTATTGCTATTATGTTTTCTCACGTCAAACAAATCCTAATTGCATATTGGATTGACGTTCATTCCAATATGTGAAGTCTCGTTCATATTACCTCGTATAAGCCTCATGAGGCCTTACTGTATCCATCTTCATTAGTATGAAAAACATTATATCGAATATATGGCAATTCTGCAGTCTCTTTCATATTTCCTCGTATAAACCTAATGAAAAGTTACTGTATTTATACATTTCACAAATTTCGACAATGACCGACACTATATTTCTTTTTCGGAACATAGTGATTTTCATCACGTTTAAACATATCCTTCATCCTGGGACAATCTGGACATATTTTTTATCGCACCTTGTCACCATCGTCAAGAATAAATATGAATTTCATACTTCTGGAACTAAAATCAGAATTTTTTGTATTTTATAGTTTATCTTAACGAAAATGCATCATTTCGATTAAAAATACGTACTTTCATTATATGACCTTCGATCCAAGAAATTACAAAACCATTTCGAGGTCAGACACCAGACCAGACATCCTCATGACGAAGTAACACTCCATTATTCCACTATTAACACAAAGAAAATTATGTTTCATCTACAGGACCTATCATGATTTGTGATTGGACCGCGGTATCTTTCTATTGTTATTCAGTCAGAGCACTATAGCCGGAAATATACAAGTGTCTGTTACTATCCCCACCATTCGCGATTTCATTCATCTATCCGTGTTTGTCGTTTAGGATTATTGGCTTATACTTTTGAATGATTCGTGTATAAATATATGTATATCTATTGTTATTCAGCCTCAGGTAGCAACCCACCTTTCCAGAAATACTCGAACGCAGAAACCGGCGAAAGCATCTGCTCCAACCCCACTCCTAGGCTCCGGTTCAGGAGCACCAGATCAAAACCAGTGGTCACGTGATCTTGCAAATTCTCCCCCACCGGCAAATCCAACATGGTCGTCATGTTCAGCTGATCCAAGTGACTTTTCGGCCCAATGCCGGAATGCAACAGAATTTTCGGACTCCCTGTTGCAAGAATTAATGACAATTGATGACGTTGGTAATCAAATGAGTTATAGAATGTTTTCATTAATTAATCTTGAATTTACCATTTTCATTTTCAGATTTCAGTAGTGAATACCATGTTCTATCTATATCAACTGAACAGGAAACGATGCTATTGTCTCCGTTCAGAAGAATGCAAGCAGATTCCTTGATCTTTCTCTTCTGGTTGTTATCTTCTTTTTCAATGATTTTAATATTATTCCACTCTGCCATATGTTGTCCATCTTCAGTATGGATATGTTTAGCTAGATTCGTTTTGTTGATGTATTTTCTTTATTTTGTATTTATGGTCCTTCGTCCTTACTGAAAGGAGTATCTTGGTTTCACCTGTATAAAACTTTCCACGAACCAAGAGACCTCTTTCAGTAAGGACGAAGGAACATAAATACAATATGAAGAAAAGACCGGAAAAGACACATCGACAACTCGACACTATAGCTGAACATATCCTTACTGAAGATGGACAACATATATGGCAGAGTGGAATAATATTAAAATCGATGGAAAAGACGATAACAACCAGAAGAGAAAATTCAAGGAATCTGCTTGCATTCTTCTGAACGGAGACAATAACATTGCTTGTTGTTCAGTTGATATAGACAGAACATGGTATTCACTACTGAAATCTGAACATGAAAATGGTAAATTCAAGATTAATTATTGAAAACTCATTTGATTGCCAACGTCAACAGTTGTCAATGAAAACTGAGAATCTTCAAGACAGATACGACTTTGCTATCAAAATAATCATTTCTTATGTTGAAAACGGGAGCAGATTCGGTTCCGAAACGTCCAAAGATAAGTGAAAATTTGATATTTTTGCTATATACCTTTATTTCTCTTCCCCAAACCTTTTTCAATACAAATTGTCACTGACAAGCTAGTGAATTTTTCTTTCAGGCTCTCTGATAGGAAAATTCTTTAAACGCAGTGACATTTTGGGGCAAATCATCTGATTGTCCTCACTACACGTATATTGGAATTGTATTCATATTTTTATTTTATAGAGACGAGGAGACAAAAATATCTGGAATAATGAATGTACCACCTCCTCGATTAACCTACAGACAGTATTTAACTAATATTCTTGGTCATTAACTTGTTTCCTTATCCCAAATAGTATACAAGTTTTTACTTGCCACTATTGAATATTCACTTAGGGTAAGTGATTTTTTCTCTCCGGGTAGTTGTTTGAATTATTGCCTACCTATCACTCCGGCAGATAGAATGACGCCTTTGGAAGCGTACGCGGAACGCGATTGGCCGAGGAAAGAGTATCGGACTCCATAGGCCTCAAAATTTGACGCAGCAGGATTTTGTTGACTAGGCTGTTCGTTTTGATGACGACGTTCGGTTTGTTCTGTTTTAGAAGATGGTGCGATGTGGTCCAACGGGCGCCATTAAGATTCAACGTTTTCGGCATACCAAAACCTGAAAAAAAATTGGAGGGTATTTTCGAACATATTGTCTACTTACTGAATCGTAAGTAGGCATGGTTCAAATTTCGTTTCAGTTTAGCTGAAATCAGTTATGGATTATTTGTTGCTATGGTGACCGTTGTCATGGTAACGAGTGAATAGAAAACAAAATCCCGTGGTGAGGAAATGCGTGGTTGCCAACTCGTATCATGTTCAGTTTAGCTGAAATCAGCTATGGAAAAACTGTTGCCATGACAATAATCGTCATGGTAACGAGTAAACAAAAACCAGATTCCTGTGGTGAGTAAATGCGTTGTTGCCAAGTTCTCTATTTTTTATTTCATTTCAAAATTTTACAACATTTGAGGAATCAGACAGACAGTTATGAATTTTCTTCTGAGTCAAGGTTTGGTGCCAGCAAGACCTCATTGCAAGTCCAAATCCAATCAACACAAGTATCCGGTTGAGCCATTTTCCCATTATTATTCAAGAGAAACAGATTTGGAGATATATGTCATATTGTCCTGAATCTTGAAAATGTAGACAAGATATTCCAGTGGTGAAAGGTACATGGATTGAAAATAGCAACTTGTCTCCTCAGAAAGAATCCAAGTAAGTATTTTGTGTCCCAAGACATATTTCTTATCAAGTTGTTGATATTCATGGGTTATTTGATTCGGCTAACTTGATCTAACCCAAAATCACCATTCTTGAAAACAACACCATCTAACTCAGCCAGAACAAACCTTTTAAGGTATGTTCATGCTTGTACGAATTCCGCAAAATTTATGCGAATCGGAAAATATGAAATTTCCGACAGAATTTGACGTTCATACTCATGCGACAAAATATGCAGGAGATAAGGGTTCAGTTGTGATATTAATTTCTTTATTTCTGGTCCCACCATTGATAGAAGTTCATCAAATTGAAGGCACGTTACACGAAAGTAAAAATATTTATTAGGGTCATTCAGTCGCATTTATCGAACGAGTCTGTACCAATCTCCATTCATTTTCGGCATTTAAATATGCTTCGAACAGTACAGCTCCTTTTTATGCTTCTGGATACATCATTAGTTCTATAGAGACGATACAGATGATACTTTAAAATTAATTCGTCCAGAGAATCCATTCTGCGAAGAAAATTCAATCAAATGAAGGAATGATGAAATTTTTAATTATAATTCTGTACTTACCTGTAGTCTAGTGTCTATAGTCTCGTCTTTTTTCGACCTCTGCAGTCCGCCCTCTAATTCCCCAATTTTGATGTTATCAAAATAATAACAATACATTTTATGTGGTTATGATTCCATCCGAATTCGCAAAAAAGTTCAAATAGTTCAACTTCATTGCGATATTCGCAGTCGCCATTTTATTCGCATAAATTTTCCGGAATTCGTACAAGCATGAACATACCTTTACTCTCGAAAATAATTTTGTCAAAACTTCTCTCAACAGTAAATGCCTCCACAGTCCAGTCCTTCTTTCAGGAAGGAAGGAAAATATCCCTCCTGCATAAACACTACTTTTTTTAACCATCTAACCTTACTCGACCTAAATGAACCTTCTTCCTAAGAAGACAGTAGGTACTTTTTCCAGGGAGGAAGGAAAATATCCCTCTTGCATAAAAAAGGACACTACTTTTTCTGAACAATCTAACCTAACTCGGCTTAACCCTTCATCTTAGAAGACATATATTTCTCAACATCGATCAGATTTGGTAGCAGGGTATCGTTCGTGTGTGTTTGAAGACTGTGGCTGAATCAAAATGTGCGCGTGGAGAATCTAAATGAAAAGCGAATGGAAATGTGGGTAGATCGAAATTTGAGCCTAACGATATGTTTCCATCTGTATTAGGCAACCAGTACCTGTGTCTCTTTTCCTATATCCTATTTCCTATATATTTCAAATGGCTCTGTTTCTTTTTTATGTTTTCGAATAGCATGGCACGCGAAGGATGGTTGCATTGAAGAGTGTTTTTGAGATTAATGAATGAAGCAATATTTCTCCGATACAACTTGACAACCACGCATTTCCTCACCACGGGAATTGGATTTTTGTTTACTCGTTACCACGACGATCGTTGCCATGGCAATAGTTTTCCCATAACTGATTTCAGCCAAACTAAACCCGATACAACTTGGCAACCACGCATTTCCTCGCCACGGGAATCGGGTTTTTGTTTACTCGTTACCATGACGATCGTTGTCATGGCAACAGTTTTTTCATAACTGATTTCAGCTAAACGAAACTTGAGCCCACTTCAATATACTTTGACAACAACTGTCACCGTCACTACCGTCAGATAGTTTTCACACTTTTGTAGTCAACCTCACAATACGAAATGTCTAACCCTTGAAAATATGGGTTGCGTGCAAGAACTGTCAGATGACCGACGCTGGAGGCAAAACATTGAAACACAATGTCACTTTTCTTATTTGTTTATAAGTGATTGAAATAGTTTTTCACAATTATTTTGGCATACGAATCGTATTTTTCCGCTATTCATCAATTCGCTCATGCCATCACATTGTGCTGTTGTAAAATGCACAAAAACTGCAGCGGAAGATGAAGGAATCCGGATGGTACATTATGATTTAAAAGTAAGTACCTACTATAGTCACTCACCTATAGTTTTCATTTTTGAAATTTGTTAATTTCTCTGATTTCTCTGATTTCTCATCGGAATTACTTCTGCTATAGGAGCTAATAGAAATACACCTGAAATTTCTAAAATAATGCAAGAAGATTGGATTCATGCAATCAATCCGGAGGACTGGTATGACATGCTGACGATCGTGTGTGTTGTAGACAATTTCAATCTATTAGCAGTATTAGCTTGTATTGCAGGAGTGGCAGAAGGCAGAAGGAATTTTAATAAAGAATGACAACATTTCATAATGATAACTATGTGAGATTACTATTTACCTGAAAAATCATATTCCTTAGTCTCTTGCTGCATTTTTTGTGCATTGTACAACAGCACAATGCGAAGGCATGCTTGAATTAATGAATAGCGCAAAAAACACGATTCGTATGCCAAAATATTGTGAAAAAATATTTCAATCCTTTGATTCCTCTGTAACCAAAGAAAAAAGTGAGGTTGTGTTTCAATAATTTACAGAAGAATGAGGTTGTGTTTCAATATTTTGCCTCTAGAGTCGGTCATCGTGCACGCGACCTAAATATGATCAATTGTTGAACTTGATGAACTCATTACCAGTTCAGTAGCCCATTAATTAGCACCTACCTTCAGGACAGTTCTCAGTGTCTTCATTAATAACAAATCCTAGTTGTTTAGCACCATTCAGAATAAAATTTGGTAAAATCGATGTGAATAATGGATTACTGACAGGTGAAGTTTGGCTATCATCTGAAATCCGAAAATATTATTGCAATTTACTTGCGTATATGTAGAAACATATGAAAAAAAATCACGTTCTATGACCTGATGTTTTGCCCCATCGTTCGAATTTTTGGAAATAAGGTAAGACATCTTCTTTATAGTTGTATCCTTCTTTATCTTTGTACCATTCATGGAAATCTTGTTCATGTCCCCTTACGTAAATCATATTGTTCAACATTCCAGTACCTCCTACGATTTTTCCCGTAGGCCATATGCTTTTCTAAAATCAGAAACAGATCGCTATAATCTAAATCAGAGTATTAACTTTATATAGGTAGGTACTAATATTTTTTAGATGTTCATTTTCACAGAAAATAGATAACTTTTAATGAAACATACCTTCCTGTTTCAGATTTCGATAAAAGAGCATGAAAGGGTGAAATTTGATATCTCTGCTCTATATTTGGAGCGAAATTTGCTCATTTTTATATAATCAGGAACTGAAGTAATGACATCATTGACTTCGTTTTATATACCTACTTAAATTTTGGCGTAAGTAGTTGAAAAGATCTATTTGCAATCTCCTTTCCTTGGAAGATTTTTATGAACAAAAATGTGAAAAAAAGCATTGAAAAATTCACTCTTTTCGAATATGGCAAAATATAGGTTTCTATGAAAAAGAATTCGACTACAAAAACAAGGTATTTCTACATACAGCATGTCTCACTTTGAACGCCTCCCTCCCCCCTCTATTATAGCGAAACTTTTTTCACCTAGTATCGATGTTGTGAATAAATGCGCAGGATGCCTCTGCCTAGCCGTGCCGCACTTGAAATGTTTTCATTTCAAATCTGAAAAGAAAACACTAAACCCAGAAGTAGTATAGAATATTTATGCCTTTCCAGGATTTAAATGTTGGTCATAATGATAATTATATTGTTCAGTTAGAATTTTGTTATAATATCACGTTTATTGTCATGGCCGGCTCTTGTAGTGATACTAGCGTATTTTCAGTGAGTTCGATTGAAGATTGCTAAGGAAATGATAGTTGGGTTTTTTATTGAATAAACTATTGAAAGAACCACCCTGTATTTTTTAAGAGACCGTCCCTAGGCGGTTTCGTAACATCTGGCGCCCAACGTGGGGCAATAGTTTTTCAAAAAACAACAGCGAAACTGAAACAAAACGTGATCTAAAGTCACCTGCTTTAATGTCAGTTTTTCGTTTGACATCTGTTAAACGAAACTCTTGTTCCTTAAGAAATAATTATTGTCACGGCACTGATGAGACCACGCTTCAGTTAGATTTTGTTGATGATATCTGTTCATTGACCTGCGAGACTAAAGGGGTCTATTCAGTAACTTATCGTTAGAATACGATATCGTTACCTTAACGATACATGGACCAACGACATATTGAACGATAAATTCTGGAAGCTTATTCAGTATCGATGTCGTTAGAGAAAAATCTGGGGACATGGTAATAAATGGATTTGATGAATGTTGGTAACAGTATGTTGATGTTCTGTGGCTAAAAAACGCGCGAAACTCGTTAGAAGTTGAAAAGAAGGTAATGATATGTTATTTTTGTCGAATAATATGGTCAGTACTTCGTCTTCCAGACAACAAAATTGTTGTTTTTTGTGTTGAAAATGTCACCAGCTGTCTGAGGGAACTTCACAACAAGATTATTGACAATAATATCATCAACCTCATGAAGTGATCGACACATTGGGTTGAGATGAACTGTTGAGTCTGTCTGAACCCACATCAGGTTTTTGATAAGTTCATGTAGATACCAAGAAATGTAAATATCGAAAGGTCGCTAGGTCCGAATCTCTGGCAGAGCAGAAATTTTATTTATATAACGAGAGAAATTTAAATTTTCGTTGCCCCGGCAGGAGACGATTTCGCACGATTCGCTGTTGCTTTCCAATTGAAAGGTTCTGCTCCTAAGGTGGCGTATGGAGTTAGTAACAAAGCTCACATAGAACACACATGGGCTGAAGGATCTATCGTAAGGTTGATGGCCAATTGGTATGTATACATTCATACATGTACATGTATGTATGTATGTATATATTATACTACTACTATAAGAAAACTTCCCTATCTTTCTAATCTCACTCTTATGAAAGGAGTGTTTTTGTATTTCTATCTGCCGGCAACATGAATCCTGATATTTCATTGTGCTGCCTCTTGTGCTCAATATTATAAATGCATCTGACGAATTAGCACATCTGGTAACTCAGGATTACTCATATCCCTGAGTATTCTGAGTTGCTGTCTATATGTTGTTGTCTGAAATTTTTTTGATGATATCACATGATATTACAATGTAATGTACCAATGCAATCACTAGAAACAATGAAGAGTTTATTATCTGCGTGCTATCTCTTCTAGAACTAGCTCTACTAATGCCTGGTTATTCACATTCACCACTGTCTGCCAATTTCTATATTATTTTTTGTGTCTCCTTCACGTAACGACAAAGAAATGTATGCAAAGACACCTCAGCCGATGTCGTCTACAAACGATAAGTTTTGTCGTACAGGTACGACAATCGTTAGCTACAGAATAACAAATATCGTTCCTTAACGATTATCGTTCACTAACGATGTCGTTAAGCGTTACAGAATAGCCCCCTAAGAGGCCTTCTTTTTTCGCATAAAAACCTTTTCTCAGACGTCTCTGGCAGAACCCATTCATATACGCACGAGGTAAATTTAACAGATGACACTCCATTCAAAATGAGACAGTACTCTATTCCCTTCGCACACCGCGATGTAATTTTCCAAGAGATAAAAAAATGGAAGGGTGGAGTGTTATTGAAAGGGCCTCCACACCGTATATAAGTCCATTAGTGACATCGGTTAAACAAGATCAAATAAAAAGTACACGGGTTTTTTGGTCGATACAAATACCTACCAGTTTACGTCACTACCTTTTGGCCTACGGACGGCCGTATCTTCTTTCACACGCTGTATGTTTTACTACTGAGAAATGGAGAAGAAGACCATTCTTCCCATTTTATATTGAGGTTAATATGACCTTCTTCTTCATTTTTTCCCATTTCCAATGTTACCAGCATAAAATTTTCATCATTCTACATTGGATCATTGACGACAAGGATAGATGGGGAAGACATTTTTTTCTCTCTCAACGCTTGCTGAACTGCTTTATTTGATCGGTTTTTCAGAGACGAACATCATTTTAGACAGTGCCGTGCGTTTTTATTGAAATAAAAAGGGGTCACAATATTATATTTCATAGTTTTGAGCTCTTATCTGTAAATTTTAATTGTACATCTAAAGAGCATTTTTGCGAAGCTAAATAATTATTTACTCGGAAAAGGTTTGTTCAACAGAAAAAAGTATTTTTTCTGCAACCGACACAAAAGTCGTCCATTTTGATACCAAAATTAGCTCTTAAATTGACGTTTCTATGACTGACACAAAAATAGGTATGTTGCTAGGCAACATATTTAGTTCCTAGGAGCTAAAGTTCAATTTTAGTTCCTAGGAGCTAAAGTTGAACTTTAGCTCCTAGGAACGAAAAAGGATGTACTGGAAGTCATCAAGAATGAACAACATTGTGACAGTTGGTTATTTGGGTTGAGACGCATACCTGATTTGTTTCCGATTTCAGCGGATTTGGCATTTCATACCCATGCTGGAGATATAAATACACCTTATTATAGTTTAGTATTGGAATTATAAACATATCAGTTAAGTATTTTTGTTTTGATCAAGGAAGCCTTCAAGATTCAAATACTTGCTTGATCTGTATTTCATTCGTTATTCTCGGGATGGATAGCTTGTTTTTGAATAATCACGGCAAGCAATAGTTTTTTTGTCTCAAACAACGATATTGTTCAGCTTCATTTGATTATCAATTCAAACACAGTGTAGTATAAAGAGGAATAAATAATCACTATTATCATTGTTGATATGCTCACTAACCTAACATTTTCCACGTCTTGTTCCTATAGCTGGCTGGCGCGGTATTTGCCATTAGAGAGCACCTGGTCCATACACAAATATGTCGTCACTCTGTCGTTGTATTTATATTGAAACTACAATTCGAACATCCTAGGAAACCTAACCTGCTTTTAATGCAGGTAGAATATTCTCACCACATGGATTATTTGTCGATATTTGTTGCATTGCATACATATGGCACGGCATTGGTGGTTACTTCACATTTTTATTTGAGTTAATTGTTTCGGTTGCAGAAAAAATAGCAAGTTTCATTCGGATCAAAAGTGACTGTTTGACTCGCAAATTTTGCTTTCGCTCGGCTTCGCTAAACGCTCCGCCTCGCAAATGCAAAATTCGCTTGTCAAACAAAGTGTCACTTTTGATCCTAATAAAACAATCTACTATTGTTTTTTCTTTAAAACCAAAATTTTCTACCTACAGGAGCTATAAATCGTTCTAAAAATTGCAATTAAATCGAATTCATCATTTTTTTCGTGGAAAATAATTTTAAAATTAAGCCAATCCTGGAAATTTGAAATGAAGTGAATCTTGGGGATTCAAAACCATGAGGTGCAATATTATGAAGTTAGTTTTCCTGCAAAAAAATGGCTGATATGAAATTGGTGATATAAAAAATGTATCTCTTTTCAACACGCTTATATTAGCTTTGTATGTATGTGGGTTTGTTTGTTTGTAAACGGAATCTTCGAAAGCAATGTTGACCACCCACTTCAAAATGTGCGATTGATTAGAAATTTGACAGGTGTACATAATTTTGGTGACAATGGATCATGAAATTTTTGTTGGCCAAAAAACAAAATGGCGGCTCCAAAATGGCGGACGAGTTTTGTAATTATGATCCGATTCTATTCAAAGTTTGTATCTGGAAGTTTCCGGGGTCGGAGATTACGATTCTTCCGTCAAAATTTGGAAATTCAAGATGGCGGATCCGATATGGCGGACGGGTTTTGTAATTATCGAACGATTCTACTCAAAATTGGTACATGGGGGTTTTCGGAGTTGGAGATTATGATTCTTTCGTCAAAATTGAAATGTTCAAGATGGCGGATCCAATATGGTGGACGAAGTTTCGTAATTATGATCCGATTCTATCAAAATTGGTACTGGGGGTTTTCGGAATAACTCAAAAATGACTGAAGCTAGTCTAGATTTCTTAACGGATTCTGATTTAAGATTGAATTTGCTGAAACTTTCTTTATTCAACCGACTCTCTATTTCTCATAGTTACCGAGATACCAATGTTGAAGATCGAATTTGGTACACACTGTATACTGATTATGCAGGTGCTAGTATTTCTTATGTATTTATCAACACACTTTTACTATTTGTTTTTCTCTTTTTTCATTTGGCTATCTATAAAACACGTGGCTCTGTCCATAATGATATTTATCTCTTTATATCAGTCCAAATTTGGTAAGAATTACACAACTAATTACTGAGATATAGAGGGGGTCTGTTTGAAGTGAGACATGTTGTATACCTTTTAGGGTGAAAATTCAAAACACCCCTTCAGCGTTTTTTTTTAATGGAAAAATAAAAATGCACCATTGGATAAAGAAAAGTGTGACACCTGATATTCCTAGATATTTTGCTAAAGTTTGGTGTTCAAGAGCTTATGTAAATTCTCCCAGATTCTGATTCTTCTTTTGCATTTGCAATTTGTGAACTAGGTGAAATAGCAGGAATAGTAGGTATATATAATAATATAATAAGGGAACTTGATTGGTTTCTCTTGTACCATTTAACAAAACCACAACTTTATAATAGATATTTTAATACTTGATTCATTCCAATAAATAATATCTCAATTTTCTGAAAAAGATACCTACATTTGACAATTGCAAACAATGAACAGACAGTAGAATATAGAAAAAAATATAAATGATTGAATAATATTGAAGTAAATTTGGTAGAACCAAATACAGATTGGCAATATAAGATATTTTAACTAAGAAGGAAATTAGGTATAGGATAAGTAAATATGAGATGAGGTCCTCAAGAGAGTACCTACTTGAAACACTGGTTCTTTTAAGGTAGGTAACCTATACAAAACCTTTATAAAAAACACACCTTCAGTTGAAAATTGATTCCTCTTGGGCTCTTGAGTCCTCAACAAAATGACTATTGATGCAGTTTTCCCTGCATTGATTATTATTCTGCTACTTTCAATTAGGTATATATAACTATATCTACTCACATTGTTATTGAGAGCCAAGCAAGATTTGGCTTGTGATACGGTGGTGTAATGCCAGTCGAACGGCGAATTTTGCAGTAACAACCCCAAAAACGGAATATCTAAAAACGAGTTACCATGTTGTCCAGCTTCCAAAACAAGAACTGTTATATTTCTGTCTTCTGCAAGCCTTTTGGCTACAATAGCTCCTGCTGAACCACATCCCACTACAAAATTGATAGTTGAAATTTGATTTGGGTTGATATAATATCAGACTCACCTACAATATAATCGAATATCGTATTGGAAGTATCAAACTCTGAAAATCGATTGTATGAAATATTCACATAGTGCAATATATACAGTAAAAAGAACACCAGATACACTACAAAGATGTACAAAAATAGGATAGGAAATCGTGTGGTGAATAACATTGCACAAAAACCACGAACTCACATTATTTCAATTTCAAATTTCGAACTGGAAAATCCAAATAGTTTCTTTCCAAGTCCGATTTAAAAAGCTAGGTTAGTAGTTCGTTTGTCACATTGTCACTTCTTCTTGCCTTAATTATTCTGACCTTATTTTTTTAGGCTATCCGGCAAATAAGTTGTAAATTATGCCATTTCTTCTTCTCGTTAAATAGCGGAATTTGAATTTAAATGTTATTTAAATTTACTAATGAGGAAAATAATCAACACTGTGTTAGTCAACTATTATTTATTTTTCTTGCGATTAGCACTTGATTCCTAGGTGATATTCTGCAATCAAACAAAGGTAAGATATCACATTCACTACTACATTCATTTAGATACAAAAACCTATCTAACAAAATTATTGTCTCAACCAGTGGTGCTAGAAACAAACGAAGAGAATAAAATGCAACAACCTTTTCCCAAGTTCCTTCAATCATATCCTCAGAATCAGTAATAATACTATCATCAAGTGATACACCCAAATTTTCAGTAACTTTTTTCACATATGCCTGAAAACTCAAACCTTCCTTGTATTTAGCACTACATATCTTAGAATGTCTCAATTGTGGATCATTGTTTACCAAAAGCTGTTCAAGTCCAGCTCTGTAAGCATGAATCTTCAACTCAGAAGAATCTACAGGATTTTTCAATTTCTCCACATAATTTTCAATAGCATGACATGCAATTTCACAAGACAGGTAAGACAACCTGATATTCATGTTTTCACAGTAAGAACTGAGAGGAAAACCAGCTTGTGCAGATGGTTCTAAAGTCAGTTTCATATAACAACAGCTAGCCATATTAAGGAAAACTATATTTGGACATTCTTTATAGAGATGTAGAAGTGTGGAGCCAAGATCTCCACAGGGATGTAAACCTACTAAGCCAAATTTCATGTCATGTTGATATCCAAAAGCATTCTTAACTAGCTTAATAAAATTATATGTTCCTAATTCAGCAGATATCATTTGATTTATATGGGTGGTGTCAAATTTTCTCCCCAGGTTCATTCCTCTTTTATGCAGCATTTTCTCTAATTTTCTGTCCAATTCTTCAGCTGAACTTGAAAGAGCTTCATCAGCCTCAAAAGTACATACTTTGAAACCATACTGGTAAGACATCAATCTACTGAGATGTCCCAGGCCAGAACCAATATCCACAATATTGAAACAATTAGTCTCTACAGCAGAATTGTAGCATGCCTGAGCCATTATAGATATTTCATGCTTTTTCTTCAACTTCACATTTTTCCAAAAAAATTGAGGAACATCCACTATGTCCTTTGAATCAAATTTCCCAATTTGTGTCCTTGGTAGAACATTGTTAGAAATCAACTTTCGTAAGCACAGTACAGACAAGGGAAGTAATTTTGGTGTCACCTCCAGTGGTACATCAAAATCTAACAAGTTGCTGAACTGTTTCATATCAATATCAATGAAATATTGCTGCCATGAACTTGGTAATTTTGACCAGTGTTCTTCTAGGTAGTAATCTGACACATATGAGTTCAACACATCTTCGAATATTTTGTAAGTTTCATAACACGTTTTCACTGTCTTTTCTAAATCCATTTTTGATATTGATTTGACAACAAATTTGAATAATAACATAACCTACGAATCCCAGTTCCCAAGACAGGACAGTGTTGCCAACTTATTTTGATCGAGATTCCCTAGCAAGTGTCATGAAATTCACATTTTTTCAAAAAATTTCCCACGTTTGTTTTCGTTAAAAGTGGGTACCCAAATGAAAAAAAAGACTACTCCGGTCCATATTCATAATAATAAAAAAGTCTTCTTTGGTACATATTTCAAAGTGAAACAGTGCATGGTACGAATTGACTTGCATAATGGAGAAAAAACTTCGAGAATGAAAATGCTTCTATTCTTCTAGAATCGAGACTTTTGTCACTGACCCACTTGTTTTATGCTTCTCTACATGAAACGACTTCGCCTATTTTCATGTCAGTTAGAACTATACCAGAACACTAACATAAGATGGTATACATACACCAGCAGTACCAGCAGGTTGTCAAGTACGAACATTCCCCATATTATGAGTTCATTTAGTTTTTCTTACCTTTTTCCCATTTCTATATTTTTTTCAACGAAAGTTCCCATAATGTCGGAAAATTCCCACAACTTGGCATCACTGTGTAGGGTCATACTTATTTCTTCTTCTCTTTATTCCTGACATTTATTGTCCTTGTAGAACGTGGACTAGATCTAAGGCGCTACCGAAATGAGCAACCAAATTTAGAAATGAGGCCTGTTCGTTTGTGTTTAAACTTTTTTTTTTCTATGGCTTTGTGTCTTTGCGTTATGCCATGAAGAGAGACAACTATTGGAACAAAATCAACTTTAGCAAGATCAGAAACACTACTGACAATGGGGGAAGGGAGGATCTGCAAGCGCTCTACAGGCCTGTTTGTATTGCTGAACTTGCTGAATTTGATTTTTTCCCATATTTGTCTCTGCTCATGGCATTATGTAAGCAGAGGAAGTCATGAAAAAAATCAAGTTCAGCAGGTAGAGTAATCACAAACGAACAGGATTTACGAACCTACGAACCTTAAACGTAGACCTCCACGTAGACGTTAACGTTCGAGCAATAACGTTTACGTATTTCTTTAAATTATGTTGAAGTCGTCATTTGGTAGTCATTCTCATCGAAACGTAATAATACATTCTGTTTTCGGTTTGTATTGGTCATTTTTGGTTGTTTGTTTGGATCAGAACATTCATTCCTGTCAAAATGAGAGGATTTCTTGATACAGAACTCCTTGAGGATCCCGAAGTTGATAATTTCGACTTATCGGCATCTTTCTGGTATATTGGTTAACGCAAGTTGATATTTAAAGAATAAGTGAAAGAACATGGGAAAACGTGCACTCGTTAGCCAACTAGAAACGCTAACGTTAACGTTAACGTTCATGGCAACACTTCAACTTCCTATTATACAGGGTGTTTCAAAAAAACCTAACCCCCTTGCTAGAGTAGGTAGAACATTGCAAAATAAGTTTGCTTTGCACAGTGAAAAAATGTCGTAACGGCATCCGTTTTCATGAAACAAAGTGTTGAAAAAATCATTTTTTTACACATTTTTCATATATGAACTTAAACATCATTCAATTTTACACCAAAAAGGTACTCCTGGTGAAACTCGATACTATATTCCGATTTCGGAATATTTCGATTTGAAATTAATGCAGTAGTAAAATGATGCTGGTATTAAATGAATTTTATTGAAATATTGAATCAGTTTAGAGTAAGTGTACAAAATGTCCTACGTTTCGAGGAATACACGATTCTATATTATTTTTTCAAGAATGTATTATTCTTCTGAACAGTTGAGGATCAGCTGTTAGGTCATTTAAGTGATGTTCAATTATGTCTCACAACTCTTGACGTGAATTTATCTATGTAGCATAGACTTTCTGCTCAAGATACAACAAAACTGTGTAATGTTCTTGATTAAATCTGTTTCGATGTTATTCTTGTGATTTATTGTTAAATCAATGAGTTTTGCATCAGAAATGTATTGTTGTTTTCGGTTTCCAATAAATAGGTGATAATTTTTCATAATACTCACATACCAGCAACAGTTACCACTTCATCATTTTCAAATCGAAATATTCCGAAAACGGAACACAGTATCGAGTTTTACCAAGAGTACCTTCCTGGTGTGAAATTGAATGATGTTCAAGTTCACATCAAATTTGGATTGAAAAATCTAACCTCAAAAAAAGTTATGTTCAAAACTACTCGGTACGAACCGTGTAACTAGCGCCCTCTATGAGAGTCAGATATGAAGAAAATGCATGCGATGTGTCAGATTCCAAGAAACTTCCATACAAAATGTCATCACAATGTTGTCAGTAGTTTCAACATAATCGTAAAAAATGTGTAAAAGAAATATTGTTACAACACCTTGTATCTTGAAAACGGATGGCGTTACGACATTTTCTCCTGAACAAACCCAACTTATTTTGCAATGTTCTACCTACCCTAGCAAGGGGGTTAGGTTATTTTGAAACACCTTATACAGGGTGTTTCAAAATTCAGTATCAAGATTTTAGGGGCGTATTTTTCAGGTCAAAATGAGACGTTTTTGTCCATAAACATGTGTCCGCAAACGCTTCGTTACCGATCTACAGACCGTTAAAGTTTCAAGATTTTTTTATTTTTTTCTTCATAGCTCTTTCAATTTTTGAGATATTAAGATCAAATTTGGAATGTAGGTTACGTTCTAGGGCTTACATCTTACATCATCCAGCATATTGTGAGAATCTACAGGGAGATATTTTTTTCAGGGGTCAAGCCCTTTTTTACCCCATAAACTTTTTTGTGGTGCGCCGCTGGTGAATTCTGAGATACGAAATGAATTCTTTGTTTTGTTTATAAATTTTTTTGTCTCTTGTAATTTTCACGCATCTGCGATCGTTATCGAGAAAAAAGTAAAATCAATTTTTGTGATTCGCTACATTTAATTAAAATTTTCAACGGAACAATGAAAAAGCGAATTAGTGGGCTTTGACTGCTATTTTCATTTTGACGTTTAGGTTTGTTTTGAAGCATTTGACATTATTTGAAAGTTGGTGGATGTCTCATCGTGTATTTGTTTAACTTTAACGCTCTGTAGATCGGTAACGAAGCGTTTGCGGACACATGTTTATGGACAAAAACGTCTTATTTTGACCTGAAAAATACGCGTCTAAAATCTTGATACTGAATTTTGAAACACCCTGTATATTTCCCATCTTTCACTTTTTTCATTAAATTTCATCTAATTGTAAGATTTTCTATCAGTGATATTATTTTTGTCGTTTTTTTAATTTGGTCTTGACGTTTTGCGTTTATGGTTTATTGCATGTGACTCAAACAAACCGTGAAGATGACGGGATGTACTCAAAGAAAACGATTTAACCAAGACGTTAGCGGCCAGAACCCATCGGGGACCGCCAACGTTGATTTCCAAATCAAACGAAACTTGAATTGTCTCGAAAAAATTACGGTATTATGTCGAAAGCAAGAATATTGGATGTAGTGTGCGGGAACTTTCGCGAGGCGCATGTCTACCAACATGCACACTCAAAAATATTCACCATTGACATTTGACATAATACAGAAATTCAGAAATCAGAATTGATTGACGTTTCTTTCTATTGTCATAGCTCCCAGTGGCATCTTCTCACGTAAGTTATTTTTGAAAAAATCTTATTATATCTTTTCCATCTTTCGATTTTTTCATGAAATTTCATCCAATTCTTATTAGATTATCTATCGGTGATATTATTTTTGTCGTTTTGTTAAATATTGTGTCTTGTTTGAAACTGGATCTTGCAAATTACATGACACATGTGTTTGTTATCACAAAAAAATATGTCATTTCAATCTCCTTTCAGGTTTATCGTAACTCAAATAAAACGTAAAGATGTCGGGAGGTTTAGAGGTACTAAGCCTCAAAGAGGACGATGTAACCAAGATGTTGGCGGCCGGAACCCATCTGGGTACCGCCAACGTTGATTTCCAAATGGAACAATATGTCTACAAACGTAGGGCCGATGGAATCCACATCATCAACATCCGCAAAACTTGGGAGAAACTGCTCTTGGCCGCTCGTGCCATTGCTGCTATCGAACATCCTAGTGAAGTTTTCGTCATTTCCTCTCGTCCTTATGGACAGAGAGCTGTGCTGAAGTTTGCTGCACATACTGGGGCCACTCCTATTGCTGGAAGGTTCACTCCTGGTAAGTCTCATATCCTAAAAAGTTTTCGGTAAAAATACACTTGTCATGTGATGGTTTTTTGTTGGAAAATTTTTACTGGTACCTACAAATTTTCATTAGTTACAATTTTCACCTTCTCCACCTGTCTTTTGGATTGTATTTAGAACAATTTGCCCTTCTTTTTTCATCATTGGACAATTTATATATCACAATGTACTTCAATGCAATTTTTTTTCTATATGAGAACTAGAAATATGATTTTATTGCATATTTAGTGAAAAGAATAATAATGGCCTGTGTATTGTCATTAAAAAGCAATTTGTTGTCATTGTTGTTCACTAAATTTGAAAATCCCCACTATAAAAATCATATTTCCTGTTGAATTTTCTATAAAAAAATGTGTCATTGTAGTACATCTTGAGTATAATAAAGTGTTGACAAAATAAGAAGGAGCAAGTAGCTGTAAGTGGAGTTTTAACAATGTTTTTTATTTGATTGTGTTTGATTATGGTGGATTCATCAATTCCACCAAATTAACAATTAAATTATGAATCTTTGGAAGCTTATATTAATAATATAATAATAATATTTATATCATTCTTTGCTATAAACATTACATTGCATCTCATATAACAGAAAAATTTTCATTGGATGAATTATATAAAATAGATTCTCTTAAAGTTTCATATAATATTATTATTATTGTTTTTTATATATATAAATATATCATATGTTTATGTATCCCTATTATAAACAAATATGTTTCTTGGGGTAATAAAGAACAACAACAACAACATATAATAAACAATAATCTGAAATCCAATTTTGTTTTGGTAAGAAACTCAGAAATTCATGGTTATCACAAGAGACAATTGAACTTATTTCATCTTGATTCTGCTACTTCTTTAATTGGCCAAAAAAAATTTACTCACGCTGCTCTAGCTGAATTTAATAAATTACCACATAATATAAAAAATTGCAGACATATTTCAAAATTTAAAATTGAATTAAAAAAACACATGATTTCATTACAAAATGGATAAAATTGATACTTTGCCATCTACTGATTAGTCCCTGTGGCTATTTTTATGACTTGATCGATTTAGCATTTTTAGATTTTTATTGTTGTTGTTGTCACCTTATATTATTTTATTATTGTTGTTTGTAATCAACTTCCTCATACCAGAATTTTATTTCTGACTGGAAGCTAGTTTTTCAATAAATAAAAATAAATAAATATATGTATCAACATTTACAATAAAATAACATGAATAATCAGACAGATTTATATCTGGTATGAGATTATTCATGCATTATTAAGTTATTGAAATAAACAACAGATTTAAAAATAATAATAATAATAAAACAAAAAGCTCATGAAAAGTACATTATGGCATTATGAAATAAATTAGTGAATGAGAAATCATTCACTCAGGTTTGATTTTCCCTTAGCAAGAGGATATGTTTCTTGACTTTGATTTTGAATTGGGGGATATTTGTGCAACTTTTGATATCATCAGGTAATTTATTGAATTTTGAGATAGCTCTGTGAGTGAACTTTTTTTGACCAAGTGTAGAATTAGCAGCATCAAGATGAAACAAGTCATATTGTCTAGTATGATGTTCATGGATTTGAGAATTCCTCACCAATATGAAGTTAGATTTGAGGTGTTTGTTGATGATATCAGAAGAAATTTTGAGAGTATTTATCATACAGATAGTGCTCTTCCAAAGAAAATGTATTTGTTTCTTCATAAAGTTGATTTGATGGGGTGTCATATGGAAGACAATACAGTACTTTTAATTTATTTATTCATTAATTTATTTATTTATACTGATTACAAACACAGTGTGTCTAATAAAATGTATCAGTTAGGAAGGTAGGTGAAGAGAATGGAATTAACTAAAGCTAAAACTAAAAACTATATACATTATACATTTGAGAGACTCTCAAGTCACATCACAATTAGTTTTACCTAGTTTAGCATTTCATATTAAAATAACGAAAACAATAAAACAATATTAAAATAGTTAACTTGAATATATCACTGGTGAGAGAGAAGTGAAGTTTTGGAGATATTCCAGATATCAATTTCACATGTTTTTAAAAAGTTGTTGAAAGTTGTTGAGCAGCTGTTGATAGGATAGTGCTCTTTAATATAGTACAGTTATTCTGTTAAAATTATTCTTGGAACATGAACCCCCAATATCAATGAGATAGTTCATTTTACTAAGGATGTGAGTGTATAGAACAGTATTTGCTATATTTGGGTAAAGTTTTGGACATCTTAGGGCACCAACTATGGGATTAGTTGATTCAAATTATTCAACTAGTTGCTTTTTTGATTCTTAATTCATTTGTTAATTTTTTGTTTAGTTGAGTAGTTTCTAAATTCACCATTACCTGGAAGAAGAAAAATCATTTGACCTCTTTTTATCTGAATCAGACTAGTTGGGGAATTTTAATATTGTCTGTTCACTGGTTTACTGAACATTTTCAACATACTTTTAATGTATCATTGTTTAAACAATGGTTCTTTCTTCATGCATTTTGATTTCATTGAACTGAATGTGTATGAACAATGTTCATACTTGTATAATGTTTCAAAATTAGAAAATTTTGTTTGAACTTAACAGAAAGGTGGATGTTGATAGGGATACCAAAGATGTCTAGAGTTAGGACAATAATTGAATAACTCTGTTTGAAATAGAGGTCAATGGCTTACTAAAAATATCAATAAGGGTGATTTTTACATATTTTGCATATTATGTTTTCATTTGGAATGACAATGGATGTACACTGTATCTGAATAAATAATGAATGAATGATTTGAAAATAATGAAAAAATGTTTTTGAATGTTATGTTTTGATATGTTTGGATATTAATTTCAATTTCTTGGGGATACATTGAGAAGAAAAGTGTTGGTATCCAAAGAACAGTGGAATTGGTATATTTTTCAATTTGTCAAACCTGAAGTTTAGCCCTAATATACAAAGTATTCACAAAATTTGTTGAAAATGTGAAAATTGCAAAAAATTACAATATTCCCAATAAAAAATAAACACTTAGGCAATAACTTGATCCCTTTTAGGTGTTTTTTTTTTAATTTGATCCAATGTGTCTTAATGTTATTTTCATCCTGTTAAGATGAAAATTATTCTGCATTTATAACTTGAGAAATCTAAAATGCAATATTGAAAAGGAATATTCTCACATATATTATGAAGATATTCAATGAGAATTCACATTCTCTGTGTTGAAAATATTAATTTTTTCTCCATATATTCAACAGAAAACAATGTTGAATAATATACCCAGTTAAATATACAATTAATTGAGAAATAAGTAAGTAAGTAAGTAAGTAAGTAAATTTATTCAAATCAGATATAACAGATACAGATACGTCTTCAACAGAAGCAAAGAGGATACATGAATATATAAATTCTATAATCCTAGGAGAACCATTGAAAGTTGCGGCTACCTAAGCAAGCTTGTATTGTAGCCCCAACAAAATAGTAATCCTATTTCTAAACAATGATACATATTATCCTATAGCATGTAGGAGAAGGAAGAGATAGTGAGAGGAAGAGATAGTGAGAGGAAGAGATAGTGAGAGGAAGAATTAGAGAGAGAAAGAATTTGTGTGTGTGAGAAAGAGAGAGAGAGAGAGAGATATGTAGTTGTTGTGAGCTCTTATATGCACTTACAATAAACGTAATTCATTGATTAGTTATTCCAGTATCAGTAGGAGCATGTTATAATTGTCAACAACAAATTTTTTCAATTCTCTTTTAAATTTGATTTTGTTTCTCATACATTTTAATGGTGTAGGTAGAGTATTGTACAGTTTTGGACCGAGATACGAAATGAATTTTTGATTATGCGTGAGTCTACAACATGGAACATTCATGGTCTGATTTGAACGTGTACGAGTATTGAATGCATGCTGTACAAATGTGATTGAAGAGTTGGCAGTCCATAATATGCTTTGATATATACAGGGTGTTTCAAAAAAAACCTGACCCCCTCGCTAGGGTAGGTAGAACACTGCAAAATAAGTTGGGTTTGCTCAGTGAAAAAATGTCGTAACGGCATCTGTTTTCAAGATACAAGGTGTTGAAAAAATTATTTTTGTACACATTTTTCACGATTATGTCGAAACTACTGGCAACATTGTGATGAAATTTTGTATGAGTGTTCCTTGAAATCTGACACATCGCATGAATTTGTTTTTATATCTGACTTTCATAGATGGCGCGAGTTATACGTTTCGTACCGAGTAGTTTAGATCATAACTTTTTTGAGGTTAGATTTTTCAATCTAAATATGATATGAACTTGAACATCATTCAATTTTACATCAAAAAGGTACACTTGGTGAAACTCGATACAATGTTCCGTTTTCGGAATATTTCGATTTGAAAATAATGGAGCAATAGCTGATGCTGGTATAAAATGAATATTATTGAGTTCAATTACCTATTTATTCAGATTCAAAAACAATAAAATCATTCTTGCACTGGAGTTAATGATGGAACAAAGAGTCATAAGTTGTAAATTAAGAGATATTTGACTAGAAACATGAAATATTGAATCAGTTAGTGTATGTGTTCAAAATGTCCTACGTTTCGACGAATACACGATTCTAATTTCTTTTCTTGAGAATGTATTATTCTTTTAAACAGTTGAGAATCAGCTGTTAGGTCATTTGAGTGATGTACAATTATGTCTTACAACTCTTGACGTGAATTTACCTATGTAGCATAAACTTTCTGCTCAAGATACAACAAAACAGTGTAATCCATGTTCTTAGTCAAATCTGTTTCCATGTTATTCTTGTGATTCATTGTTAAATCAATAAGTTTAGCATCAGAAATGTATTCTTGTTTTCGGTTTTCAATAAATAAGTGATAATTTTTCATAATACTCACTATAATACATAGCTTTATACCAGCAACAATTATCACTTCATCATTTTCAAATCGAAATATTCTGAAAACGGTACACAGTATCGGGTTTTACCAAGAGTACCTTTTTGGTTTTAAATTGAATGATGTCTAAGTTCACATCAAATTTGGATCGAAAAATCTAACCTCAAAAAAGTTATGTTCAAAACTACTTGGTACGAACCATGTAACTAGTGCCCTCTATGAGAGTCAGATATAAAAACGAATGCATGCGATGTGTCAGATTCCAAGAAACATCCATACAAAATTTCATCACAATGTTGCCAGTAGTTTCGTCAAAATCTTGAAAAATGTGTAAAAAAAATATTTTTTCAACACCTTGTATCTTGATAACGGATGCCGTTACGAAATTTTCTTACTAAGTGAACCCAACTTATTTTGCAGTGTTTTACCTACCCTAGTTAGGGGGTCAGGTTTTTTTGAAACACCCTGTATAAAGTTTCCTAACTCCGAATAATCCAGTTTCATTATACAACGACTGAGTACAGTATCTCCGATCTTTTTTCAACATAATTCTTATTATTGAGTTTTGAGTCACTTTTAAGTTATCCAGCGATGTCTTGAAGATACCGCCCCATACTATTATACAGTAACATATTATGGAATTAGCCAAGGCATCATAAACCATCAATATCATCTTCCTGTTTATTATATTCCTAAGCTGGTAAAATTTATAGATTAATTTACGTAGTCGGGTTACTGTATAATCAATATGTTCCTTCCACCGAAGTGATTGGTCCATCATTATCCCTAGGTACTTTATTGTCTCAGTTTTAGAAATAGCAGCACAGCTACAGTTGTGAACATTCGCACAAGATGTTTTATGAACATTTATTATATTTTTCTCTGGTTGGTCTCTAGTAGTTGGAGAAAATGCAATGAATTTGGTTTTTTTGACATTGACACTCAGTAAATTGCCACTCAACCAGTTAAAAATCATTTTGATGCCTATTTCCGTCTGGGTATATGTGGAAATAAGTGTTAACATTTCAATTCTGAGTAATCAAATCTAACCACATATGATTAAATGGACAATTTGTCTGATTCTACAACTATTGAAAGCTGACTTTGATATTTTCTATTTGGAAGAAAATGTATGTACATAATAAGGTGAAAGATAGATTTTATTAACTGTCAATGTTAAGGAACTGATATCTAGCACCTATACCTACATATATTGAAATTACCAAGCACCTACCAAAATTAGAAAAACTAGGACTTACTGACTATAATTGCCAAATGTCACCCTAGAATGTTGACAAAAATTTAATATACCTACTACAAACAGCTGTCATAAATTATAGTTGTTTCAATATCACTACTTATTTATAATAAACATCACAGTCAAGTCTTAGGAACCCTTCAATTGTACCAGAAATAATTCTGTTATCAAAAAAATAAAATGCAGTGTGGCCCATCTAAGACCAATTCAAAAATTTTAGCAGACAGTATCAATAAGCAAATTGTCTATTTTTTACATAACAAACATTTGAAAATTAGAATTAGTTATTTTTCAAAGATTTCAGTGTTTCCAGAAGTAAATTAAAGATTTAATAAAATATCAAGATCAATCACTTGATGATATTTGGAAAATGACACATGGGATTTCAAATTTTAAAACACCAGTTTCTGGAAAGTGAAATGCTGTTTCATATTTTTTAATGCCATCTTGTAGGAAAGGAGAAGTGGCCAATGATGTGAAGATTCATTCAATTTGATACATTTCATCAATCACTGTTATTTTTTTTTTAAATGAAATTAGCCTTTGATTTAGTTATTTGTTCTTTGAAATTCAGTTTGAATGGCCAAGCAACAATAGCTTCTGCCGTTTTTTAAAACTAGACAAATTTCTAAAAATGATTATACTGAAAAACTCATGAGACCATAATTCCAATTATTTCATTACCTGAATGGCTTTTATGTCATTAGGGCTAAGAAAATATAGTTGAATAAAAGTTCATCTTGGGAAATATAGTAAGCCTAATATTATTGCTATCAATAATAATTTTTCAAGTTTGCAATTTGAACAGAACAAATCCATTTCATAACATTCACTTCTTTGATTAATTCATCATAAAAATGCCACTACCAAATGATGATCACACTAAGGAACCTATGAGACCATGATTTCATTATTATTCTGATTCCTCTCTCCAAGTGGAACACCGTCCGCCAATCCAAAACAAACCTAACCCCCCTACCCTATTTTCTTGTTTTCAGGTGCGTTCACCAATCAGATCCAAGCCGCCTTCCGCGAACCCCGATTGCTGATCGTGACCGATCCGGCGTTCGATCAGCAGCCGATCACCGAGGCGTCCTACGTCAATATTCCCGTCATCGCCCTGTGCAACACGGATTCGCCGTTGAGGTTCGTGGATGTGGCCATTCCCGGCAACAACAAGTCCACGCACAGTATCGGTCTGGTGTGGTGGATGTTGGCCAGAGAGGTGAGTGTTGGGTGTTGTTTTTTGTGTTTTGCAGTGGAAAATCGTGAGAAAACAGTTTGAAGGTTTTTCTGAAAAACTTATCATTCAAATACAGAAATATCATTTTAGAACATTCTCAAGAATTCTGAAAGGATCTAAACATTCTAGAGCATTTTCAAAGATTCTAGAAGGTTCTTGAACATTCTAAAACATTCTAGAACATTTTCAAACATTCTTAAACGTGCATAAAAAATTAAATCTTACTTATGATTGATAAAAAAATCAACCTTCTAATATACAGAAAGAACATTATCCAGAATTTTGGAAGGTTCTAAACATTCTAGAGCCTTTTCAAAGATTTTAGAAGGTTCTAAAATATTCTAGAGCATTTTCAAACATTATTAAAGATGCATACAAAATTAAATCTTACTTTTGATTGATGAAAAAATCAACCTTCTAATACAGAAAGAACATTCTCCAGAATTTTGGAAGGTTCTAAACATTCTAGAGCATTTTCAAAGATTCTAGAAGGTTCTAAAACATTCTAGAGCATTTTCAAACATTATTAAAGATGCATACAAAATTAAATCTTACTTTTGATTGATGAAAAAATCAACCTTTTAATACAGAAAGAACATTCTCCCGAGTTTTGGAAGGTTCTAAACATTCTAGAGCATTTTCAAAGATTCTAGAAGGTTCTAAAACATTCTAGAGCATTTTCAAACATTATAGAACATTTTCAAACATTCTTAAACGTGCATAAAAAATTAAATCTTACTTTTGATTAATGAAAAAATCAACCTTCTAATACAGAAAGTAAGAACATTATCCAGAATTTTGGAAGGTTCTAAACATTCTAGAGCATTTTCAAAGATTCTAGAAAGTTCTTAAACATTCTAGAGCATTTTCAAACATTATTAAAGATGCATACAAAATTAAATCTTACTTTTGATTGATGAAAAAATCAACCTTTTAATACAGAAAGAACATTCTCCCGAGTTTTGGAAGGTTCTAAACATTCTAGAGCATTTTCAAAGATTCTAGAAGGTTCTAAAACATTCTAGAGCATTTTCAAACATTATTAAAGATGCATACAAAATTAAGTCTTACTTTTGATTGATGAAAAAATCAACCTTTTAATACAGAAAGAACATTCTCCAGAATTTTGGAAGGTTCTAAACATTCTAGAGCCTTTTCAAAGATTCTAGAAGGTTCTAAAACATTCTAGAGCATTTTCAAACATTATTAAAGATGCATACAAAATTAAATCTTACTTTTGATTGATGAAAAAATCAACCTTCTAATACAGAAAGAACATTCTCCAGAATTTTGGAAGGTTCTAAACATTCTAGAGCATTTTCAAAGATTCTAGAAGGTTCTAAAACATTCTAGAGCATTTTCAAACATTATTAAAGATGCATACAAAATTAAATCTTACTTTCTAGCTCTTACTTTTTATTGTTGTTGAGTTGGTGTGGTGGATGTTGGCCAGAATGTGAGTTTGAGTGTTGTTTTTCTGTTTTGCAGTGGAAAATCGGGAGAAAATCGTTTGAACATTGTTTTTTATTGAGAAATATTTGGAACTAGCAGGAGTAACTTCGACATTCCCTTAGATTAAGTCAGTTTCTATCACAAGTGAGAGAAAAAAAATCAAACTTCTAATACAGAAAGAACATTCTCCAGAATTTTGGAAGGTTCTCAACATTCTAGAGCATTTTCAAGGATTCTAGAAGGTTTTAAGATATTCTAGAGCATTTTCAAAGATTCTAGAAGGTTCTGAAACATTCTAGGGCATTTTCAAGCACTTGAACATGCCTGGACAAATAGCTCTTATGATTATTGTTGTTGTTGAGTTGGTGTGGTGGATGTTGATCAGAATGTGAGTATGAGTGTTGTTTTTGTGTTTTGCAGTGGAAAATCGGGAGAAAATAGTTTGAACATAGTTTTTTATTGGGAAATATTTAAAACTAGCAGGAGTAACTTTGACATTCCCTAAGATTAAGTCAGCTTCTATCACAAATGAGATGAAAAAATCAACCTTCTAATACAGAAGGAACATTCACCAGAATTTTGGAAGGTTCTAAATATTCTAGAACATTTTCAAAGATTCTAGAAGGTTCTAAAACATTCTAGAGCATTTTCAAACACTTGAACATGCATGGACAAATAGCTCTTACTTTTGATTATTGTTGAGTTGGTGTGGTGGATGTTGGCCAGAATGTGAGTTTGAGTGTTGTTTTTGTGTTTTGCAGTGGAAAATCGGGAGAAAATCGTTTGAACATTGTTTTTTGATGAGAAATATTTGAAACTTGCAGGAGTAACTTTGACATTCACCAAGATCAAGTCAGTTTCTATCACAAGAGATAATAAGAAAAAATCACCTAATACAGAAAGAACATTCTCCAGAATTTTGGAAGGTTTTAAACATTCTAGAACATTATCAAAGATCCTAGAAGGTTCTAAAACATTCTAGAGCATTTTCAAACATCCTTGAACATGCATGGACAAATAGCTCATACTTTTGATTATTGTAGAGTTGGTGTGGTGGATGTTGGCTAGAATGTGAGTTTGAGTGTTGTTTTTGTGTTTTGCAGTGGAAAATCGGGAGAAAATCGTTTGAACATTGTTTTTTGATGAGAAATATTTGAAACTTGCAGGAGTAACTTTGACATTCCCTAAGATTAAGTCAGCTTCTATCACAAGAGATAATAAAAAACATTAACCTTCTACTACAGAAAGAACATTCCCCCGAATTTTGGAAGGCTCTAAACATTCTAGAACATTATCAAAGATCCTAGAAGGTTCTAAAACATTCTAGAGCATTTTCAAACATTCTTGAACATGCATGGACAAATAGCTCCTACTTTTGATTATTGTTGAGTTGGTGTGGTGGATGTTGGCTAGAATGTGAGTTTGAGTGTTGTTTTTGTGTTTTGCAGTGGAAAATCGGGAGAAAATAGTTTGAACATGGTTTTTTATTAGGAAATATTTAAAACTAGCAGGAGTAACTTTGACATCCCCTAAGATTATGTCAGCTTCTATCACAACCTTCTAATACAGAAAGAATATTCTCCAGAATTTTTGAAGGTTCTAGAGCATTTTCAAAGTTCTAGACGGTTTTTGACAGAGGTGATGAATTTGACATTTATTACATCATCTTTTCCTTGAAAAAATATAAAATGATGAAACATCTTGTTCCTAAATCATGAAATATCTATGATTTTATATAATTTTTCCACCTGACTATTTCTCTCAACTTTACGCTCCACCCAAAATGATCGAAAAAAAATCTACCCTCGCGATCCTTCCATTCAAGGTCCTGCGTCTGCGCGGCAGCATCACCCGCGACACCAAATGGGACGTTGTAGTCGACCTCTTCTTCTACCGCGAACCCGAAGAGGCCGAAAAGGAGGAGCAGGCCGCCAAAGAGGCGGTAGCGCCCGTCTCCAAGCCGGCCGACATCGCGCCCGCCCTGGACGCCCAAGACATCGACTGGAACACGCCCGACCAGTCCGACTGGGCGGCCGAGGTGCCCCAGGCGGCTGCCCCCGCTGCGGTGGTTAGCGGCGGGGCTACCTTTGCGCCCGCCGCCCCCGCGGAGGATTGGGCGGCCGAGGTGGCGCAGGAGCAGTGGACTAATGCGGCGGCGCCGGCGCAAACGCAGCAGCCCGCCCAGGCGGCGGCGCCCAATTGGGGCGGGTCTAACGATTGGGCGTAGAAGTATTGTTCTGTATTGGCTTTTTTTGTACAAATTGACGTGCGATACGCGATTTCGTATCAATAAAAAGATGATTCAAGGTTTGTTTTGGAGTTTCATTTGGTTCTTCCCTTTGTGAGTAGCCCATTAGCGCCGTGCGTTGCCATATGGCAACGCTAGGCAGATGGAGATCTAATGCGGCGGCGCAAACGCAGCAGCCCGCCCAGACTGCGGCGCCCAATTGGGGCGGGTCTAACGACTGGGCGTAGAAGTATTGTTCTGTGTTGGCTTTTTTTGTACAAATTGACGTGCGATACGCGATTTCGTATCAATAAAAAGATGATTCAAGGTTTGTTTTGGAGTTTCATTTGGTTCTTCCCTTTGAGTAACCCATTAGCGCCGTGCGTTGCCATATGGCAACGCTAGGCAAATGGAGATTCAAATAATTCCCTGAGACTCAAATTTTATTCTATTAGGGTGAGAGACAGCCCACATGATTCGCAAAAGGACCGGTTAAGCACATGCCGCCATATCTTTGTTGTGAGTAACCAGTTTCGACCACGTGAATTTGTGACACTTTGAGCTTATTTGAACTGACGTTAAATTTGTTCGTGTACGATCCTGTTTTCAGGCATTTGATTTTGCGATATTTGTTTTCATCATTATGTTGCACATGCTTGCAAGTTATACAGTGTGTCCCACTTACCATGCTCACCATGGGTATCTTTTTAACGGTGAGAGATACGAGGTCGGTTAAATGACACCAAATGCGGAGTTTGTCAAGGCCAACTATAATGTGAAGGAATATATCATTGAAATCTATTCGTTTTTGTTTTATACACAAAAAACAGATTTTGATGATTTTCATGTCTCCTCCGTAACTTCTTTATTTATGAAAATATTCAAATAGGAATTTCACATTCTCATGGCAGTTTTTTAAAGTGATTTCGAAGTAAATATGAAATTTATACCAACTCTTCTAGAATTTGAGATATCAGCACCAACTTCAGTTTTTCAAATGTAGGTCATAGCTCACTATGACTTAGTTACAAATAACTTTTTTTTCTCTTACCAATGATATGTCGCAGTAATAGTTTTGTGTTGATAACAACGGAATTATCGTCATTTATACAAAACAAAAAATTATTCGGAAGCCGCCATCTTGAATTCATGAATTTTAACAAGAAAATCGTGATCTCCGACCTCAAAAACCCCCACTTACCAATTTTGAAAGGAATCGGACCAAATCTTGTCCGCCATCTTGGAGCAGCCATTTTTTTTAAATTTCAACAAAAATTCCATAATGTATTGTCACCGAAATTATGAACACCTGCCAAATTTCAAGTCAATCGGAGTTATGGAATTTTTGTTGAAATAAAAAAAAATGGCTGCTCCAAGATGGCGGACAAGATTTGGTCCGATTCCATTCAAACTTGGTAAGTGGGGGTTTTTAAGGTCGGAGATCATGATTTTCTTGTTAAAATTCATGAATTCAAGATGGCGGCTTCCGAATAATTTTTTGTTTTTGTATAAATGACGATAACTCCGTTGTTATCAAAACAAAACTATTACTGCGACACATCATCTGGAAGAGAAAAAAAAGTTATTTATAACTAAGTCATAGTGAGCTATGACCTACATTTGAAAAACTAAAGTTGGTGCTGATATCTCAAATTCTAGAAGAGTTGGTATAAATTTCATATTCACTTCGAAATCACTTTGAAAAACTGCCATGAGAATGTGAAATTCCTATTTGAATATTTGCATAAATAAAGAAGTTACGGAGGAGACATGAAAATGATCAAAATCTGTTTTTTGCGTATAAAACAATGCCTTGACAAACTCCACATTTGGTGTCATTTAACCGACCTCGTATCTCTCACCGTTAAAAAGATACCCATGGTGAGCATGGTAAGTGGGACACACTGTATATGAGGCATATTGAAAAAAATTGCAGGAATGTTTTTGTGTAGAAAATTCGCATCAAATATTCGTGTTGCCATATGGCAACGCTAGGCGCTAATACTCAGCAAATGGTGACTCTCCGGCCTAGCCAATGGATGCTGAATCATTAGCTGGACGATCTTCTTTTCGGAATTCTGCTAATACTTCCATTCCAATAATATATGATGGGTCGAATAATTAGATGACTGAGCGGAAAACGACGAAGTTATTCAGCACTTGTCAGAAGAAACCAGGTGGCATGCGTTGTTTTTGAAAGTAACCAAGTGGTACTATTTGTGTATAGGCGAAACTGATCAGATGGATCAAAATATTAGTTATTATATACCGCATATAGGAATTCGTAACGTACTGATGGCAATCCAAAAGAGCTGGATTTTGACAAAGACTGTGTTCAAAATGTGACGGAGGTATTTGTGTTAATATTCCAAAAACATGTTTCACAAGCGCCTAGTGTTGCCATATGGTAACAGCAGAATTTTGGAAAACCTGAATTCCATTTATGATTCTTTAAACCTATCTCGTCTTTCGAAAGTATTTCACACTAGTTGGTGGCCATAAAATTTCAGAAAAAAAGGAAAAAATAATTCCGATGCTAATGGGTTGATGATTTTTGAATATCTGGCTTTTTGTTCGAATTCACGTGTTGATTTCCTATCAATGAAAAGATGATTGCAGGTTTATATCTGGCGCGAACGGAGCTGCGACGCCCAATTTGGGGCGGGTCTAACGATTGGGCGTAGAAGTATTGTTGTGTGTTGGCTTTTTTTTTGTACAAATTGACGTGCGATACGCGATTTCGTATCAATAAAAAGATGATTCAAGGTTTGTTTTGGAGTTTTATTTGGTTCTACCCTTTGATTAATCCATTAGCGCCGTGCGTTACCATATGGCAACGCATAATTATGTTGCACATGCTTCAAGTTATTTATGTGGCATTTTGAAAAAAATTGCAGGAATGTTTTTTGTGTAGGAAATTCGCATCAAATATTCGTGTTGCCATATGGCAACGCTAAGCGCTTATACTCAGCAAATGGTGACTCTCCGGCCGAGCCAATGGATGTTGAACCATTGGCCGGACAATCTTCTCTTCGGAATTCTCTGCTCATACTTCCATTCCAATAATATGTGATGGGTCGAATAATTAGATGATTGAGCGGGAAACGACAAAGTTATTCAGCTCTTGTCAAAATATTAGTTATTACCGCATATAGGAATTCGTAAAAGCTGGATTTTGACAAAGACTGTGTTCAAAATGTGACGGAGGTATTTGTGTTGATACTCCAAAAACATGTATCACAAGCGCCTAGTGTTGCCATATGGTAACAGTAGAATTTTGGAAAACCTGAATTCCATTTATGATTCTTTAAACCTATCTCGTCTTTCGAAAGTGTTTCACACTAGTTAGTGGCCATAAAATTTCAGAAAAAAAGGAAAAAATAATTCCGACGCTAATGGGTTGATGATTCTTGAATATCTGGCTTTTTGTTCGAATTCACGTGTTGATTTCCTATCAATGATGAGATGATTGCAGGTTTATTTCTGGCGCGAACGGAGCTGCGACGCCCAATTGGGGCGGGTATCTATTATGTTCTGTTGGCTTTTTTTTGTACAAATTGACGTGCGATACGCGATTCCGTATCAATAAAAAGCAGATGATTATTCAAGGTTTGTTTTGGAGTTTTATTTGGTTCTTCCCTTTGATTAATCCATTAGCGATGTGCGTTACTATATGGCAACGCATAATTATGTTGCACATGCTTCAAGTTATATATGTGGCATATGAAAAAAATTGCAGGAATGTTTTTTCGTGTAGAAAATTCGCATCAAATATTCGTGTTGCCATATGGCAACGCTAGGCGCTAATACTCAGCAAATGGTGACTCCGGCCGAGCCAATGGATGTTGAACAATTGGCCGGACAATCTTCTCTTCGGAATTCTGCTAATACATCCATTCCAATATAATATGTGATGGGTCGAATAATTAGATGACTGAGCGGGAAACGACGAAGTTATTCAGCTCTTGTCAGAAGAAATCAGGTGGTATGCGTTATTTTTGAAAGTAACCAAGTGGTACTATTTGTATATGGGCGAAACTGATCAGATGGATCAAAATATTAGTTATTACCGCATATAGGAATTCGTAAAAGAGCTGGATTTTGACAAAGACTGTGTTTAAAATGTGACGGAGGTATTTGTGTTGATATTCCAAAAACATGTTTCACAAGCGCCTAGTGTTGCCATATGGTAACAGCAGATTTTTGGAAAACCTGAATTCCATTTATGATTCTTTAAACCTATCTCGTCTTTCGAAAGTATTTCACACTAGTTGGTGGCCATAAAATTTCAGAAAAAAAGGAAAAAATAATTCCGAAGCTAATGGGTTGATGATTTTTGAATATCTGGCTTTTTGTTCGAATTCACGTGTTGATTTCCTATCAATGAAAAGATGATTGCAGGTTTATATCTGGCGCGAACGGAGCTGCGACGCCCAATTTGGGGCGGGTCTAACGATTGGGCGTAGAAATATTGTTCTGTTGGCTTTTTTTTTGTACAAATTGACGTGAGATACGCGATTTCGTATCAATAAAAAGATGATTCAAGGTTTGTTTTGGAGTTTCATTTGTTTCTTCCCTTAGATTAACCCATTAGTGCTGTGCGTTACCATATGGCAACGCATAATTATGTTGCACATGCTTCAAGTTATATATGTGGCATATGAAAAAAATTGCAGGAATGTTTTTTGTGTAGAAAATTCGCATCAAATATTCGTGTTGCCATATGGCAACGCTAGGCGCTTTTACTCAGCAAATGTGGTGACTCTCCGGCCGATCAATGGATGTTGGACCATTGGCCGGACAATCTTCTCTTCGGGATTCTGCTAATACTTCCATTCCAATAATATGTGATGGGTCGAATAATTAGATGACTGAGCGGGAAACGACAAAGTTATTCAGCTCTTGTCAAAATATTAGTTATTACCGCATATAGGAATTCGTAAAAGAGCTGGATTTTGACAAAGACTGTGTTCAAAATGTGACGGAGGTATTTGTGTTGATATTCCAAAAACATGTTTCAGAAGCGCCTAGTGTTGCCATATGGTAACAGCAGATTTTTGGAAAACCTTCTTTAAACCTATCTCGTCTTCCGAAAGTATTTCACACTAGTTAGTGGCCATAAAATTTCAGAAAAAAAAAGATAAATAATTCCGACGCTGATGGGTTAATGATTTTAGAATATCTGGCTTTTTGTTCGAATTCACGCGTGTTGATTTCCTATCAATGAAAAGATGATTGAAGGTTTATTTCTGGCGCAAACGGAGATACGGCGCCCAATTGGGGCGGGTCTAACGATTGGGCGTAGAAGTATTGTTCTGTGTTGGCTTTTTTTTTGTACAAATTGACGTGCGATACGCGATTTCGTAACAATAAAAAGATGATTCAAGGTTTGTTTTGGAGTTTCATTTGGTTCTTCCCTTTGATTAATCCACTAGCGCCGTGCGTTGCCGTATGGCAACGCATAATTATGTTGCACATGCTTCAAGTTATTTATGTGGCATATTGAAAAAAATTGCAGGAATGTTTTTTGTGTAGAAAATTCGCATGAAATATTCGTGTTGCCATATGGCAACGCTAGGCGCTTATACTCAGCAAATGTGGTGACTCTTCGGCCGAGCCAATGGATGTTGAACCTTTGGCCGGACAATCTTCTCTTCGGAATTCTGCTAATACTTCCATTCCAATAATATGTGATGGGTCGAATAATCAGATGACTGAGCGGGAAACGACGAAGTTAATCAGCACTTGTCAGAAGAAATCAGGTGGCATGCGTTGTTTTTGAAAGTAACCAAGTGGTACTATTTGTTTGTGTTAATATTCCAAAAACATGTATCGCAAGCGCCTAGTGTTGCCATATGGCAACAGCAGATTTTTGGAAAACCTGAATTCCATTTATGATTCTTTAAACCTATCTCGTCTTTCGAAAGTATTTCACACTATAGTTAGTGCCATAAAATTTCAGAAAAAAAGGAAAAAATGATTCCGACGCTAATGGGTTGATGATTTTTGAATATCTGGCTTTTTGTTCGAAAAGAATTGTAGGTTTATTTCTGGCGCAAACGGAGCTGCGACGCCCAATTGGGGCGGGTCTAACGATTGGGCGTAGAAGGATTGTTCTATTGGCTTTTTTTGTACAAATTGACGTGCAATACGAGATTTCCTATCATTAAAAAGATGATTGAAGGTTCGTTTTGGAGTATACTGTATGATTTCCTATCAATAATGAGATGATAATGCAGGTATATTTCTGGCGCAAACGCAGCAACCCGCCCAGGCTGATTTCTATTCTATTCAGAATTTTCGGCGCCCTGCACAGTCACTCAGATTCCTCTCTCGGAAAAAAATCACGAATCTTTTCTACTGCGACGAAAGGAGAATGGTTTTAGTGGGATATTGGCAATTGCATTAGAGTCCTTCATGCCAAATTAGAAGGCTCTACGATGATTTTGATAATTTTGAACATAAACGAAAGAAGGAAGGTTAACCCCTTTTGCTTTTTTCAATTTTTAATGAAAATTTGGATGAGCTGTAACCTTGTATACAGGGTATTCTCGATGTGCTCAACACGAATATAATTTCTATTTTTGTCTGTATTGGCTGGTTTTCGGGATATTTCAGATTGTCTGCAACCTGCACAGTCACTCACATTCCTCTCTGGGAAAAAAATCACGAATCTTTTCTACTGCGACGAAAGGAGAATGGTTTTAGTGGGATATTGGCAATTGCATTAGAGTCCTTCATGCCAAATTAGAAGGCTCTACGATGATTTTGATAATTTTGAACATAAACGAAAGAAGGAAGGTTAACCCCTTTTGCTTTTTTCAATTTTTAATGAAAATTTGGATGAGCTGTAACCTTGTATACAGGGTATTCTCGATGTGCTCAACACGAATATAATTTCTATTTTTGTCTGTATTGGCTGGTTTTCGGGATATTTCAGATTGTCTGCAACCTGCACAGTCACTCACATTCCTCTCTGGGAAAAAATCATGAATTCTTTTCTACTGCGACGAAAGAAGAATGGTTTAAGTGGGATATTGGCAATTGCATTAGAGTCCTTCATGCCAAATTAGAAGGCTCTACGATGATTTTCATAATTTTGAACTAAACGAAAGAAGGTTGCTTTTTTCTATTTTTAACAAAAATTTGAATGAGCTGTAACCTTGTATACAGGGTATTCTCGATGTGCTCAACACGAATATGATTTCTATTTTTGTCTATATTGGCTGGTTTTCGAGATATTTCAGATTGTCTGCAACCTGCACAGTCACTCACATTCCTCTCTGGGAAAAAAATCATGAATTCTTTTCTACTGCGACGAAAGAAGAATGGTTTCAGTGGGATATTGGCAATTGCATTAGAGTCCTTCATGCCAAATTAGAAGGCTCTACGATGATTTTGATAATTTTGAACATAAACGAAAGAAGGTTAACCCCTTTTGCTTTTTTCAATTTTTAATGAAAATTAGGATGAGCTGTAACCTTGCATACAGGGTATTCTCGATGTGCTCAACACGAATATAATTTCTATTTTTGTCTATATTGGCTGGTTTTCGGGATATTTCAGATTGTCTGCAACCTGCACGGTCACTCACATTCCTCTTTGGGAAAAAAATCATGAATTCTTTTCTACTGCGACGAAAGAAGAATGGTTTAAGTGGGATATTGGCAATTGCATTAGAGTCCTTCATGCCAAATTAGAAGGCTCTACGATGATTTTGATAATTTTGAACATAAACGAAAGAAGGTTAACCCCTTTTGCTTTTTTCAATTTTTAATGAAAATTAGGATGAGCTGTAACCTTGCATACAGGGTATT